TCTTCGGAAAGTCGACTCTCCCCACCCACCAAACCAATGTCCCTTTCAACGGCCGTCCACGTCCGTCGCAGATACACCAGATCACCGCACACTGCTGCATGCCTCGTGCGCGCCGCCGGACCACTCACAGGCCTCCCACGCCCTTTTCGGGTCAGCCCAGTAGCAGCATCCACGCCTCACTCGTGGGCTGTCCCGTGGTCGTCTTTGGTATAAACGCGACGCCTTCGCATTCGCCCGCGCGCGCAGCGCCTCTTCCTGTCCCGCAATGTCAAGACAGATGGCCAACGAAATCAAGCTCCTCAGTGGTAGCAGCCACCCCGACCTGAGCGCTCATGTCGCAAGCCGGTGAGTTGCTCCAAGCTCTTTTCGCCCGTTCTGCGCTCCAGACACGGACGGACACGGGCACAGGCAGTCTCCGCCGTGGAAACCGCAAGCGCCTTGAGCTCACAAAAACTGCCAGACTCGGCATCGAAATTGCACGTACCGTTTCCCAGAACTTTTCCAACCAGGAAACCTCGGTGACGATTGGCGAGTCGATCCGCGATGAGGACGTCTACATCCTCCAGTCGACCGCCACGGGCGACGTCAACGAAGGCCTCATGGAAATGCTCATCATGATCCACGCCTGCAGGACAGCCAGCGCCCGCCGCATCACCGCCGTCATTCCCTGCTACCCGTACGCCAGGCAGGACAAGAAGGACCGCTCACGAGCCCCCATCTCGGCCCGCCTCATTGCCAACATGCTGCAGACGGCCGGCGCCAACCACATCATCACCATGGACCTGCACGCCTCCCAGATCCAGGGCTTCTTTTCGGTGCCGTGCGACAATCTCTACGCCGAGCCGTCAGTGCTGCGATGGATCCGTGAAAACCGCAACCTCGACGACGTGGTCATTGTGTCACCAGACGCTGGAGGCGCCAAACGTGCCACGTCCATCGCCGACAGGCTCAAGGTCAGCTTCGCACTCATCCACAAGGAGCGCCCACGCCCCAACGTCGTCGGCAGAATGGTCCTCATCGGCGAGGTCGCTGACAAGGTTGCCATTCTCGTCGATGACATGGCCGACACGTGTGGCACCCTCGACAAGGCCGCGAGTATCATTCGGGAGCACAAGGCCAAGGAGGTCAGTACTCTTCCAACATGAACAGGCCCTGAGCACAATGAGCTGACCACGCACGACCCAGGTCCTCGCCATTGCTACACGTAAGCCCTCGAACCCCACGCGCATGATCGCCCGGGGGGGGGCCATGACGTCCCCGCCTCTTGCCCCTTTGAATGCCCCTCCTCTTCCCCGCTGACCCACAACAGATGGTATCCTCTCTGGCAGGGCCATCGACACCATCAACAACAGCTGCCTCTCACGCCTCGTCGTCACCAACACGGTGCCCCTAGGTGACAAGGTCGAGCGCTGCCCCAAGCTGCAGGTCATTGATATCAGCGGCACCCTCGCTGAGGCCATCAGACGGTGGGTTCCCGGCATACACGCGCCCCGTGCCCTCTGCCCCTCTGCTAACAGGATCAGTACACACAACGGCGAGTCTGTCTCGTACCTCTTCACGCATGTCCCCGTGTAAAGCCGCACCGATCAGTGCATCTTGTTTTTAGATACTGCCCAGGGGTCAGCGCATCATCATGATCTGGGGATTACGTGTATTGGATGAAAAGACTCGGGAAAGATAGCACGCTAGAGGCAAGCGGTCACGGTACGAACTGTCAAGTTGAACAATTTCGGTGACTGGCAAGAATCTTCATTTGGATCTCGACCCAGCATCGGCGAAGTCCACGAAACGGCGCCCCGTGTGTCTGTTTCGGTTTTTAGAGGGGCAAGGGGAGCCTTGATATCAATACAATTCTTTTCTCGTCCACACAACGCCTCTGCCCCCACCATTTGTTTGTACTGGTACACTTTGCTTCTGTCTATCCGGACACCGCAACCCTTGCTCCCGCTCGAAATGCATCGCATCACTAGTATAATACACCAAAAAAAAATTGAACAGAAAACGGCAAAACAGTTCAAGGTAAGTAGCCGGTAAGTAGCCGTTGCGGGGAGAGGACTGGTCTCTCCTTCATCGTTCGAGCCTCATCATCGCTTGCGCATGTCTTTACCCTTCTTTTTCTTGCCCTTTTTCTTATCCTTTGGCAGCTCGAGCACCGTCCCCTTGAGCTGCTCGCCCATGACGCGCAGCATGTAATCGTCAATGGTG